TTTGCAGGAAGCAAAGAAGTTTTTGCACTCAAGCCTTATAGACATTCGGAATATCTTTGTTGGTGTTTAGAGACTCTTTGTGTTTGAAATATTTCTTGGTAACTTTATTTAGTGCTCTTGGCAGCCATGCACAACCTTGGCAAGGCTCGTTCTTATCAGAGACGATTAGTTTGAAACAGCCTTTTAACCGGGAAGGAACGGAATTGGTAAAGAATCATTAAAAGGTTTTGCTGTGACCTCTGTTTCGTGTTGGTTTCCTTGGAACCAGGTTTGGGTCAGAACACACGGATTGCACCCCAAAGACAGAAGTTATGGGGCACGTTCGGTGATGTTGTCAGCTCCCTCTGCTAGCTTTCCAAAAGCCGTTTGGAAGCATCTCGCCTGGCTTCTCTACAGCATCGCTCACCCAGAAGGCGCAGCCACACTCACCTTAACAAAGGTGTTGACTGCCATGATGGCCATGTCTGGCTGACTCTTGGCATAGTTCATCAGGTACAGGTAGACCAGCTTCTTCAGCTCCAGGTTGTCTGTCTGCATGCAGTTCACCACATCCGGGAAAAGAGCGCTGGGAGGAGAAAACGGAAGGCGCCTTAAAGGACCCTTCTCGTCTCGGAGAACAACACAGGGAGTCCTCGACTTACGACAGCAACGGAGCCCAACGTTCCCGCCGCTAAGCGAGACCAGGTTTCTCTGCCAAGGTGGGAATCCATGGCAGGTAGCGGTTCTGCCCCCAACCCCCTCTGCGCCTCCATTCCAGAAAAAAATTAAACTGAGCTCAAAAAGCAATCTTCGTCCTGACAAAATGGAGCTTCTGGTGTGTTGAAATTCAATATATAAAGAGCCAGTTTGGAATCTGGTGATGGAGGCGCCGGGCTGGAAGACGGGATATGGCGAGTTCTAGTCTCACCTGAGGCATGAATGCTGATTGGGCGGTTTTGGGCCAATCACCAGGTGACGGTGAGTTCTAGTCTCACTTGAGGCATGAAAGCCAGCTGATAACTTTGGGCTAATCACCAGGAGACGGTGAGTTCTAGTTCCACCTTAGGCATGAAAGCCAGCTGATGACTTTGGGCTAATCACCAAAGACTGTGAGTTCTAGTTCTACCTTAGGCATGAAAGCCAGCTGGGACTCTGGGACAATCACCAGGAGACGGTGAGTTCTAGTCCAGCCTGAGGCACGAAAGCAGG